AAATAAAAATAAAATAAAATAAAGTCCCAGCTACCTGAGAAACTAAGACTGGAGGATTGCTTGAGGTGGCCTGAACAACACAGCGAGACCTTGTTTCAAAAAAAAAAAGGAAAAAAAAAAAAGACTAACTGTAGTGAGAATTAAGGTTTCAGAGCAGAAGGAAATGCACAGACTTTAAAAACAACATCAATATAGGAATAATACAAATGGAGGAGAAAAAGCATGCTATTTCCTCATCTTCAGAGCCTTGAATTATGCCATCTAAGAAACCTTATGAAGAACAATTATAGTTTCTTAATGTTGCTCATAATATTAACTTCAGGGAGCTCTTTTAGAAACTACTAATTTTTGTGGGGAAGAAACACTTACTTCAGTTTCTTTTTCTCCTGTTATATTCACATAAAATTAGATTCAGAACTTTTAAAAATAGCATTTTAGTATAAGCACTTCTATTTAGCCTTCTACCTAGAAATATCTTAGAGACACACCTAGAATGCTGTTCACCTAGTGTTAGTAGTTATCTCTGTGTGGTTTTTGTTTTATTTTGTTTTTGAGAGACAAGGTCTCGTTCTGTCGCCTGGGCTGGAGTGCAATGTTGCAATCATGGCTCACTGCAGTCTCGACCTCCTGGGTTCAAGCGATGTGGCTGGGACTGCAGGTGTGCACCACCACACCTGGCTAATTAATTAATTTTTTTGTACAGACAGGGTTTTACTATGTTGCCCAGGTGGTTCTTGAACTCTTGGTCTCTCGCCTTGGCCTCCAAAAGCACTGGGATTATAGATGTAAGCTGCTGCACCTGGCACTGAGTGGAGGTTTCCCTAAGATCACCCAAACTGTCTTCAGTTCTCTATAATAAGAATGTATCATTCTTACAAAAATAATAGAGTCATTATTCTGAAAAAGTAAGATTGGTGAAATGTCTGTCTTCAGCGTGGTATCTAGAGACTTGTCAGTCTGATTTAGTAAGAAAGCCTAAAGGACGTGTGTCATGTCACAGGAATGTGCAGTAATAAAATGGAATTCAAACTAAGCAAAAAAGATGTACTGAATTTCAGAAGCATCATGGGCTAGGAATTAGAACTTCTAATTAAAACAGCCTGGGTGCAACTTGATCTATAGCTTCAATGCAATCCCAGTCAAAACCAAACACAAGTTATTTTGCGGATATCAACAAACTAATTCTAAAGTTTAAACGAAGAAGCAAAAGACTCAGAATATCCAAGTCAATATTGAAGGAAAAGAACAAGGTAGAAGACTGACACTACTCTGACTTCAAGACTTACTATAAAGTTATAGTAATCAAAACAGCGTACTATTGGCAATAGACAAAGATGTCAAAAGACCACAATAGAGAGAGAGCCTGGAAACAGATCCACAAAAAGATACTGATTTTTGACAGAGGAGCAAAGGCAATACGATGGAGCAAAGATGGTCTTTTCAACAATGATGCTAGAACAACTGGACATCAACATGCAAAAAATCAATCTAAACATAGACCTTATGCCCTCCACAAAAATTAACTCAGAATGAATCTAAATATAAATGTAAAATATAAAATGTAAAACTATAAAACTCTTATAGTTAACACAGGAGAAAGCCATAGATGACCTTGGTTACAGAGATGACATTTTAGATACAACACCAAATACATCATCCATGAAGAAAGTAATGATGGGCTGGACTTTGTTGAAATTAAAAACTTCTGCTCTGCAAAAGACAATGTCAAGAAGTGAGAAGACAAGCCACAGAACTCTCAAAACTCAACAGTGAGAAAACAACCAACCAGATTATAATAAAAGATGAGCGAAAGATCTGGAATCCTCACCAAAAAAGATAGATGGTAAACAAGAAAACATGTTCTGCATCATATGTCATTAGGAAACTGCAAATTAAAGCAATAAGGTATCACAAACCTATTAGAATGGCCAAAATCGAAAACACTGACAAATGCTGGTGAGGCTGTGGAGCGATGGGAACTCTCATTGCTGGTAGGATTGCAAAATGGTACAGTCATTTTGGAAGACAATCCAATGGTTCCATAAAAAACTAAATATACTCTCATCATATGATCCGATTATTGTACTCCTTTGTATTTACCTATATGAACTGAAAACTTATGTCCACACAAAAACCTGCACATGAATGCTTTTAGTAGCTTTATTTATAATTGCCGAAACTTGGAAGCAAACAAGATGTCCTTCAGTAGATGGTTACATAAATTCTGGTATATCCAGACCATAGACTATTATTCAGCACTAAAAATAAATGAACTATTGATCCATGAAAAGATGCTGAGGAAACTTATGTGCCTAATACTAAGTGGAAGAAGCCATTCTAAAAAGGCTACAGACTTTATGATTCTAACTATTTGACATTCTGGAAAAGGCAAGACTATGGAAACAGTAAAAGATCTGTGGTTGCTAGGGGTTAGCAGGGAGAGAGGGATGATCAGATAGAGCATAGAGGATTTTCAGGGCAGTGAAACTACTCTGTATGATACTATAATGACAGACATATGATTGCACATTTGTCCAAACCCATGTAGGATGTAAAACACCAAGAGTGAAGTGAACCTAACAGAAACTGTGGACTTTGGGCGATAACGACCTGTCAACGCAGGTTCATTGACTGTAACAAATGCACCACTCTGGTGGGGATGCTCTTAGTGGGGGAGGCTGCGCAGCTGTAGGAACAGGGGATATATGGGAACTAGCTGTACTTGCCATTCAATTTTGCTGTGAACTCAAAATTGCTCTAAAAAATAAAATTAAAAAATTCCAGCCTGGACCTTTCTGGGAATTAAGATGGTCCAGTAGAGGAAGGGCATAAGAGATGAGAAGGGGAAGTGAAGGAGCGAGATACGGCTGGAGTGGTGGCCAGGACTTCTGTGGGCATTGGAGAGCCACTGAAGAGCAAGGAAGGGAGGTAACCAGACACTGGGGCAGCTACATGGACAGTGAATTGGGATGGGGGATGTGCGACAAGAAACCAATGAGGTAATTACTGGCAGAGTCAAAGAGTGAAGTGAGCTCCTAGACGGCGACAGCAGCAAGGGAGCTCCATATTCGATAAGGAGGCAGGATTATCCAGAGCTTGGTCCTGGTAGGAAGTAGAGGCTGAGAAAAAAGAGAGGAACCCCTTGAGGTTGCCCTAGTCTTTTTGGACATGGTAATCTAAAGGTGCTTTGGGGTTGGCAGAGATGCCCTCCCACCACGTGATGCACAGGGCTACTGCTCAGGTGAGAGGTGTGGGCTGAGCAGACTGGAGGTGATTTGCCCGTGGCTGGACGGTGAGGCATGGAGTTGAGATATCCCAGGGAGAACCTGCGGGCAGAGACCAAAGTTTCAGAGACAGGCAGAAGAGGACAAACCTACAGAGGAGAGAGAGTGGGAAGAAGAGGTCCAGGAAGGGGTAGTGAGTACCACAGAGGCCAAGGGAGGGAGGGGTTCTCCACAAGTCAGTGTCAAATGCTATAGAGGGGTGGAGAAAGATGAGGATTGAAAACAGGCTACCTCACCACAAGGGATCAAGCCCTTTCCCCTTACCCCTTTCTTTGGGAGGGCTGAATTCTGTTTTTAAGCCAGTAAAAAGGGGAAAGGGATGATTCTTGAAGAAGATATATTAGGGCTGGAACAAACAAGAAAGGACATTTTATAAAAACAAGTATTTTAAAGTGGGCTCCAGACTTCTTGACTTATAACCCGAATAATCATTTAACAGGATGTGACTTACCATCAGTAAGAGAACAGTAGAATAAATGACAGCACACCCACACCATGGAGTATTAACCATTAAGAAGAAGGGACTGGAGCTCTACCAGCTGACCTGAAGAGAACTCTGTGAGGAGTTGAGTAAGGAAAGCAGCACACAGAAAGGGCCTGTAATATGATCCCATTTTCGGTAAAGCAGTAAGAAAAACCTTGTTTATGATTAGAGTGCATGGAGGAAATTATGGAGAGATACACGCAGGGTATGTCTGTATATATATCAGTTATCTGACTAGGAGAAGGGGTGGGGTAACATGGGGAAGAGGAGGGGCAGCAAGTACTAGTGGAAAATAAAACAGGAGGACACTAAACAGCACATAAGAAATAGTCCTGGCCGGGTGCGGTGGCTCACGCCTGTAATCCCAGAACTTTGGTAGGCCAAGGTGGGTGGATCACGAGGTCAGGAGATCAAGACTATCCTGGCCAACATGGTGAAACCCCCTCTCTACTAAAAATACAAAAATTAGCCTGGCATGGTGGCACATACCTATAGTCCCAGCTACTTAGGGGGCTGAGGCAGGAGAATTGCTTGAACCTGGGAGGTGGAGGTTTCAGTGAGCTGAGATCGTGCCATTGCACTCCAGCCTGGGTGACAGAGCAAGACTCTGTCTCAAAAAAAAAAAAAAAGAAATGGTTCTAGATATGCATTTATATGAAATTATGTGTATACGTGTGTGCGTGTATATATAATGGACAAAAAATGAACACAAAAAATGTCTTGACTCAAATCCACCCTGAGTTAACAGCACGCTGAGAGCAGCCTGTCATCTGGTGGCAGCTGGGGTGAGCCAGCAAGGGGCCTGGAGTCCCGCAGATGTGCCTGGCTGTCCTGAGAGAACCAAGGACGCCATGGGTGCGGCATCACTGGGAGGGCATCTGGGCTGTGTGCAGCAAGCTGGTGAGAAGGAAACAGGCGTCCAAGGGCTCACTTGCATTCTGGGTGAAGTGCATGGACAGGAGAGGGTATTCACAGGAGAACTGAGATTTGAGAATTAATGGGAACAGCAGATGAGCTGCTGTGGGCAAGGTCTGGGGTGGGGAGAAAGAGGAGGCTGTGAATGCAAGGACCGCACGCTAGGTGTGAATGTTAAAGACCAAGGCCAGGCGGGCACGGGGGAGCCCCACAGGCCTGCCTCACCAGCAGGGTGTGGCCAGAAGTTCCTCATGTCATGGGAGAAAAGGAACCTAGAGAAAACTGGAAATTAAAGAATGACACCAACAAGAGGAAAGTTCTTATCAACCGACACTTTTAATTGCAAGAAGGAAAAACTTTCATTACATAGAACTTTAATTTACATACATTCTGTACATGGTGGAAGTCTTTACCAGTTTGCAGTATCCTGCACTTGAATGCATGATAACAGCTAAGCCATTTGGAGCCCCTGTGGCTGGGACAGCTGCCTGACTCCTTCTGCTCCCTGGGACCATCCAGGCCCACCACACCCTGCTCCCTGAAGAGGAGCTGCAGCTGACCCTACATCCTGTCCCTGATGATAGCGGGGAGCACTGCATTGAGTACCTGGCTTGCCTGCGCCTCCTCCATCCCCCACCCTCGGCATTGGTTACTGACCCTTCCATGGTGGTGGGGGTGCGGGGTAGCATGTGAAGGAAGGGAAGGAAGGGAAGACTGCAGACAGCATTTTTCTGAGGGTAAAACTGTGGAAAGAAGTATGGAGGGAAGGCTGTCTGTGATAAGATGGGGTTCTCTGGGAATGCCCTGTGTCTACTGGCTCCTGGCACCTTCCTGGAAGGGTCTACAGTGCCGAGCGGCTGCGGTATGAATAGGATGCTACTGTGAGTAAGGGCGGCTACACAGGTGACCCCGCTACCCCCAAAGAGCTGCTATGGGGAGCGATGGTGTCAATGAAACCTGGCACAGAGCAGATATCCCAACTCTCCAGTTTCTGTCTGAAACTCAGAACTTAGCTGGGTTCCCTTTTCCACACACTGCTTGCCGCCGTGGCTCATTCTTGGACTGATAGCTGCTTCCTGCCAGACAGACACACTAGGCAGAGGCCGAAGGCTCTCTGCCCTATCAAGTCCTGATAGTTCCCAGCCTCCACTTAGTTGTGTAACATTCCTTCCCTCCACTAGTGTGAAAAAAGTCTGGACATTTCACGGTCTCCAGGGAGTGAAAAATGACAGATGTATTTAGCACTAATGCTTAAATTATGCAGGGCAGGGAAACCAGAGACACTGAGGGACCTGGACAATAGACAAGCTGGCTGGAGGGCTTCTGTTCAAGGCCAGCATTTAGTCACGCTGCGTCCATGGTGGGTGGACTTGGATGTGGTGCACGAGAGGGAGAGCACCTGTCTGTCTCCCTGACATGCTTCTGGAAGAGGCTGCTGGGAACATGGAGACGAGGGTGGGGAGGACCGGGAAATGTCTGCTTCTGGTGACACAGCACATTCCCGGAGGCTCCCAATTTTCATTTGCTACAGGGCTGTCTCCATAAGTGCCTTCACCAGCTTCCCAGCTTCCTGACTCTGACATGCATCGGCTCTGTACACATCTGCAGGTCCAAATATGGAGAGACAGGCCGGGCATGGTGGCTCATGCCTGTAATCCTAGCACTTTGGGAGGCCGAGGCGGGTGGACTGCTTAAGGTCAGGAGTTCTAGACCAGCCTGGCCAATATGGTGAAACCCTGTCTCTAAAAAAAAAAAAAAAAGACAAATATGGAGACTTTCAGCCTAAAGTACAATTTTAAAGCACATCTCTGACATTCCTTCCTTCAACAAATTCTAGCGGGTGATGGGTCACCAATGAAAGGTAATGAGTGTGGAACTTGTATACTCAAGAGCTTTTCTTTCATTGTTAGGAGAGCTCAAAATCCTAAAAGGCCCTTCTGTTTAATAACCGATTCTCAAAAGGTAAACAAAATTGCCTCTCTCTGTGCAAACAGACATGCACCTTTCCCTTTCTTTCTCCTATAACCTGGCTTTTTCTCCTTTATGGACAAGGAGATGCAAACATTTGCTTTGGGGTTTGAACATTTACTATGCAAGTGACTAGGTAACAAGCAAACTCATTCCAGATGGTATTAAAATGACTGAGGCCATCACCTGCAGCTAAGGAATGTGAGGTTTTGTTTTAAAATAAGTGTACACTGAGGCCTACGCTGGGTTTTGGTAGAAGGGAACAGAAAAATCAAGAACTGAAAAACAAGTGACGTAAACTCCAAGGGGACCCACAACTGGAATTGGGCAGAGTCCCTCCTCTGTCACACATCTGGAAGAATGTGGCGGCAGGAAAATGGCTGGACACAGTTGTGTCCAGCTACATTCACTCTTAAAAAGAGTTTTCAAATGGGGAGGGGAGACGTGAAAGGATTTTTATAAAAGTCATATGGTTAGATTCTTTCCTCCTCCACTTCTGTCTAACAGATTTTAAAAACAAAGCCTGCAGAGTTCCTGGCTCACGGATCCCCATCCCTAACTTCTCCCACCCCAACGGGGGCACATCTGAGTCAACAACATCCACCGCTCTCTCCTTGGGCACGATGCTGTGATGCATCAGGAAAATGATGTTATGGAACCAGCTACCTACCTGCCAGCGGTTCACCGCTCTAAGCCTCCACTTACTTACTTGTAAAATGGGAATCTAACACCTACTTTACAGGATTGAGTGAAGATTAAAGGAGATCACGTATATCAGGCACTTTGTAAACTGGAATGCACCAGACAAATATTATTCCTTTCTCTCAGAAAATAAGCCCCACCCTCACCTCTGTGCATTTCATAGACTGTTTTGTATTTCATTGAATAGTGAATTTCTGTTTTCATAAACCGCTATTATTATACATATTTTTTGAAACAGGGTCTCATTCTGTCACCCAGGCTGGAGTACACTGGTGCAATCAGGGCTCACTACAGTTTCCACCTCTCAGATTCAAGCGATCCTCCCACCTCAGCCTCCTGAGCACTTAGAACCCTGTGTGGTTCTAGCTAATTTTTAAAATTTTTTGTAGTGATGGGGTTTTGCTATATGTTACCCAGGCTGGTCTTGAACTCCTGGGCTCAAGCAATCTGCCTGCCTCAGCCTCCCAAAGTATTGGGATTCAGGTGTGAGCCACCATATGTGGCACCACTACTCTTTTTTTTTGAGACAAAAGAGTTTGCTCTGCTGCCCAGGCTAGAGTACAGTGGCACAATCTCGGCTCGCTGCAATCTCTGCCTCCCAGGTTCAAGCAATTTTCCTGCCTCAGCTTCCAGAGTAGCTAGGATTACAGACTCCACCACAACTGGCTAATTTCTGTAATTTTAGTAGACATGGGGTTTCCCCCTGTTGGCCAGGCAGGTCTTGAACTCCTGACCTCAAGTGATCTGCCTGACTTAGCCTCCCAAAGTGCTGGGATTACAGGTGTGAGCCGCCGTGTCCTGCTTGAACCACTATTATTTTACTCCCTCTCCCCTGCCCAAAAAAATTGAGAATAATAATCTCTGCCACTTTTCATCAACAATAATAGGTATGGTACCCATTCACTACTTGACTGCTGGAGAGCTCAGGACATTTGGATAGAAATGCTTCAAACTAGGGCCAAAGTAGCCTGTCTCCTCAGAGAGCTGACTTCTAGGCATACATATCTCTATGGTGGGAGGCTACAAGAAAGTGAACCGAACTCACGTGCAGAGGTTACTGCCACATTACCTCCTAGTAAATGCTCAAAAATCTTATAAAACCACCCCCTCTTTGGAGCCCTGTGGTTTTGCTCTTACTGTGGTGGTGGAGGTGGGGAATTGGTCAGGTGGTCCTATCATCACCCAGCAACCCCGCTTTCTCATCCTGACAACTCTCTTTCCCACACTGGGTCATGCAGAGGGACTTTTGCTGCTTCCAGCTAGAGGGCAGGGGAATCCTGTGGCACGATGCACAGGGCCTTGGCCATTAGATAGGGACTGGCTGACAACCCCTAGCCACTCCCATCGCTCTGGCCAGTAGTAGATTCTGCTTACCAAAATTAACTTGAGAAGAAGTTGAACTACTTCTGTGTATCTAGAAAACCCTCTTTGGAGAAGTCTCCCCTAATACAAATTTACATTCAAGTCTGAACTGAATAGATTTTCAGTAAAATGAGTAGTATATGCACAAAAGTCTCTACTTATCTTCTGCTACAATCATTTTTGTTGAACTAAAAAAAAAAATGGGATTTAGGGGACTTTCCAAGGGAAAGCCTCAGAATACCAACACATGCAAAGGTTTCTTAGTTTCTAAAGTTTTGATCTGAAGTGGGTATTTTATGGACGTTTAAAAGGGCAGGAGTGAAATGGGAAAAGGAACACAGAGTAACTCACAGAAACAAAGCAGAGATCTCAATCATCAAAATAGTTGCTTTGTTCCTAAGAAACTCTTATGTTAACGGGTATAATTTTTAAAAACTCTCAGGGGGCTCTAAAGCACTTGTTTATATACAGCCCTTCCCCACGTGTGGCCAGGGTAAGGATGCAGCAGAAGGCTGTAAATGCTTGCACAAAGCCAGCCTCTAGATGATCCCTCTGACTTAAAACCTCCTAAATCATAACTGCATAGCAGCATGACTTTTATATGTACAAAAGTTTTGTTTTTCCTGTATTCATCCACACAAGGGGCTGATTAAGAAAAAATTCCCTCAGGTACAGCTCATTCTAGTTTCACTGAAGCCCGCGGAGGAGGCTCTTATGTTTCCACCCTGAGCTCTGTGAACTCTGCTTGTCCTTTGCAAGCCCACAGACAAACAGGCCATTCAAGTGCTCTATGATAATGATCCCCACTGCTGTTCATGAGATGCACAGAGAAAGAGGGCCTGAGGGAAGAGGTGCAGGCTCCTCCAGGAATGAGGAGGGCCTCACAACCATCTTCACTCATCACTGTCTGCCTCTGATCTATAATTCTAACCAGACACCTACTGTATCCCTTTGATTTCTGCAGTTGAGAACTAGAGGCCAAAGTGGAGTTTGTCTTTTCTTCATCTTGGCAATGGCATGAGGCCAGGTATCCAGTGGTGTCAATAAAGGAATAATAAAGAGAGGGGAAAAAAAGGAAGAGGAGAACATCATTATTTACACCTTCTGATTGTACACACCAAAAGCACTGGGGAGAAAACAATGCACAGAGTGAACCATCCAATCAGAAACACACAGCTTTATATTATTACAAAGAAGAAAAACACCTCACCTTGTTTCCCAGCACAAAGAGAGAAATCATTCTAAGACAGAGATCACATAGTCAGCTGCACGCCCAGCTGACAAACATTTTGGGTCTAGATTTCCTCCCTCAACCACATTACAACATCAGCCTTGACACATCTGTAAAACATCTTTTCTGCAGATACTCAGACCCTAAAGATCAAATTAAGGGAGGCACCCTCTCCCCAGGCCAGCTACTCTAACTCATACCCCTCTGAAGACATGTGGTAAAGGCAACACAGTTGACAAGAGCAGTGCTGCCTCAGCAGTAGTGGACTCTGGTCCCGCCAAGGCAGGAGGGACTAGAGCTGAGCTTCCGAGAAACCATCCAGATAGGCAAGGGAGAAGGGGAGGGAGTATGATACGGGTATCAGAACCCGATGAAATGGAAGAAAGCATTACTTTGGGAGTTACCATTTCTAATTATTATATAATCAGACTCCAGCCTGGTATCATAGAGACTCCAAGGGCCATGGACAATGGGAAAGAAGTGCACTTCCTGGATGTAATTCAAAGTTATCTGACCTTTTCCCACTGGTTCTAGATTCCATTTTGCTTGGGAAACTACAGCCATCAGCCATGGCTTTCCAAAAAGTACAGGGTGATGTGGCAAGGAAGATGGGAACAAGCAGGCCCACTGGTAAAGGATGTTCTGACGTCAGAACCTGCTGGCTGCCCTCTCTGCTGCCAGGGAAGGAAGCTGGCCATGCAGGTGAAGGAAGGCACCAGCCCTGTTTCCTGCCTGAGGGGCAGCATCAAGGTTGTAGTGCCCAAAGGCAAGGAAGAGATCAGTCTCAGATGGGTGCTGGCAGTGTCCTAGCCAAGTGGCCAGGCTCAATCTTTGCTGAGCCATCTGTGGGAAGAGTCAGGAGGGCTAGGCCCTGGCCCCTGCCTGGCAGATCACAGCTGGCTCACACATGCATGCAAAGGGCAGGTAACTAAGTAACCAGCCCCTGGAAAGCAGTTTCATTGTTTTTGTTTTTATTTTTCCCCTTCAACCTTGTTTTCAGCTCTGGAAGCTGTTCCTGTGCACAGTTCTGTTTCTTACAATTCTGACAAAGTGGTTCCATCGCAGATGACCAAAGGCTGGACCCCTCTGGCTATAATGTAGACCTTCCAGTGGGTGGCACCGGCATACCCTTGAAGGGAAATAGCAACAGGAAAGCATGTAAATGTCAGTGGGTAGACACACCTGTGGGCACCAGCAAGGAGGGTCTGCCAGAGCCGGCCCTCGGGGTACACCGCAGAGTCAAAGACAAATCTTTTTCTATTCAATTTAGTTTCTGGTTTTCGCTGTTGTTGTTGTTGTTTGAGAAATGGAGGTCTCACTATATTGCCCAGGCTGGTCTTAAACTCCTGGGCTCAAGTGATCCTCCTGCCTCATCCTCCCAGAGCACTGGGATTATAGACGTGGGCCACCACGCCTCGATTAAAGACAAATCGTGCTCTGAAAATCTTCTGGTACTTCCTAGCATAAATGTTCCTAGTTATTATCAGTCCTCTTCAGATGCTTTATCACCACCCCTCACCCAGGGAATTGTGAATCAAATTTAGCAGGCTTACAAAGGCAGGCTGCTCTAGATGAGGCTGGTGTTGAGCATCAAATCTTAGCTTTTACAGCAAGAAGACAGAATAGATTCTGAGGGGGCACAAGACTTACTAGCCAATTTTCTGGTGTTTACCTATAATACAGTTTCATTACAGAACATCCAGATTAACCTAAACCTAAACCAGCACTGCCCAAATTGGGTTCTGCAAACAGTAGTGTCCTGTGAGATATTCCAAAGAAAACAGGTTCCATGGCCAAGTAAGTCTGAGAAACACTAGGTTTCTCCAGGGCTTTTCAACATCTCTGATACACTAATAATATACTAGGCATCAACAAGACAGGCATTTCCCAAAGTCGACTGACTCAAGAGCCCTATTTGCCAAGGGTCTTTTCAAGGGACTTCTGGTCCTACCTGTGGGGTCATGAGTAATCTGAAGAATCGTTTAGGAAGCGCTGACGTATTGTTTGAGTGGGCTATGAAGGTAAACCTAAAAACTTTAACCCTTCAATAATCCCCAATGATGCTGAACATCATTGAGCCTAGAGTTTACAATACTTTTATTTTTTTTTGAGACGGAGTCTTGCTCTGTCACCAGGCTGGAGTGCAATGTCAGGATCTTGGCTCACTGCAACCTCCACCTGCCAGATTCAAATGATTCCCTTGCCTCAGCCTCCCAAGTAGCTAGGACTGCAGGCGAACACAACTGTGCCTGGGTAATTTCTTATATTTTAGTAGAGACGGGGTTTCACCATGTTGACCAAGATAGTCTTGATCTCCTGACCTCGTGATCCACCACACCCAGCCTAGTTTACAATACTTTAAAAATTTATTTTAATTCATTGTTTTTAGAGACAGGGTCTCGCTTCATTGCCCAGGCTGGAGTACAGTGGTGTCATCACTTCAGCTCACTTCAGCCTCAAATTCCTGGGCTCAAGAGATCCTCCCAACTCAGCCTCCTGAACAGCTGGGACAACAGGCGCATGCCACCATGCCCAGCTAATTTTATAATTTGGTAGATGCAAGGTCTCACTATCTTGCCCAGACTGGTCTCGAGCAATCCTCCTGCCTTGGCCTTCCAAAATGCTGGATTATAGGTATGAGCTACCCTGCTCGGTCCCTAACAATACTGTCTTGTACACTTAAAAATTTGTTGAGAGGATAGATCTCACGTTAAAGTGTTTTTACCATAATAAAATACAATTTTTAAACAAACAAAAAAAATGTCTTGATGGGAAATTTATTCTAGAGTACTCTGGGCCCTGCTAATCTTTTAAGGAAGAGTACTGAGTAGAATTCAACTTTTACTTGGTGACTCCAGAAGGGTCATGATGGGCAACGAATGTCCTATATAGTGACTGCAGATGTTGTATCTGACCCCCGAAGGTTTTCTGTTGATCTGGAACCCCTCTCCCCTTCATCTCCACAGGACAATGTACATTTTGTCAAAAATCATAGAACTTGCATGTCATGGTGCCATTCTTTTTGGTTTTGTTTTTGAGATGGAGTTTTGCTCTTGTTACCCAGGCTGGAGTGCAATGGCACGATCTCAGCTCACTACAACCTCTGCCTCCTGGGTTCAACCAATTCTCCTGCCTCAGCCTCCTGAGTAGCTAGGACTACAGGCATGTGCCACCATGCCCAGCTAATTTTTGTATGTTTAGTAGAGACGGGGTTTCACCATGTTGACCAGGATGGTCATGATCTCTTGACCTCGTGATCCACCCGCCTCGGCCTCCCAAAGTTCTGGGATTATAGATGTGAGCCACTGCGCCCGGCCGTGGTGCCATTCTTAAGGGTCCTTAAGGTAGTGGAGCTGCTATCTGTCCTACAATACTGAATGATTCTTCTTCTTGATCAGGGTCTGCTTTCCTGACCTCATTGTTAACTGTGGCAGCCACAGCCATCACATTGATTTCTGACACTGCTTCAGGCACTAGGTGGCTTCCCCACTCCCCCCATGCCCCCTTTGTTTTCCCAGACTTGCTCTCTTCTTCTTACCTTCAGTCCCCATCCCTCTCTGTGTTCTGTCATGTGACTGTCAACTACAGGGGTTCTTTCTTTCTAGTCAACAAACCAGCCAGGCACAGCACAGCAGGTAGCATGCTCTGGATGTCACACTAATTGGACTTTCTGCACCAGCATTTGATGCTCAAACCTTCCTTGATCACTGCCAGACATTTTTTCCTTTTTCCCTAATTCTGTAATTGGTATTCTGGTTGCTTGTGGGAGCCGGAAATCTGGAATTCAGATAACTAAGGTGTTTCTGTAGTTGTCTAAACTGTTAGGCATTTGTAAAATATAAGACAGGAACTTCTTCAAGCACAGCCACACACTCCAAACCTAAATATGCCACAGAGATTTTTGCAATAGTCATCCCTTATGCTAAGAGCCACTCCGTTATAGAAAAAAGATTTCGAACAATTTCCACACAAGAATCCTCCTTTTTGTAGGAAGTTTCCCAAGAGCCAGGCCAGCTGTGCTCCATTAGTTAATGCCTGATTTGTACATTATTTTTATTTTTCATTTCTAAATTGAATAAAAGTTACACAATTTAAAACTTGGCATAACTTGCAGTCCAGTTCCTACCCTCATATGATGTGTGAGGTTTCCAGGGATTTGGGGGTCTTCTAAGTGGGTACAATTAAAAGAATTCAATTGGAAAACCAGTCTGGGCTCTGCCAGAGATTCCAGGTCTTGCCTAAGCTTTGAGAGGCAGGAAAAATGAGGTCAATAGTGAAACTCGCAGATTTATTTGCTTCTTCCAAGAAAACTCTGCTGTCAAATTGATTGCTACTGACAGCAGTTGATTCAAACCTATTTCTTTGGAACAGATTTTTGGGATATAAGGCACGGGACAAGTCACATTTGGGAAAACACTGAGCCAGAGTCAAGGGTGAGTCATCCATTTAAGGCTGTGACTTGGCTGTGGCCAAAAAGGTAACATTTCTTTGTGCGACCACTGCCCTTATATACTGCTTGGTATTGCTTTATTTGCAAAATGGGTATACATTCCTGGATTGCCCCTCTCCTGGCTTGACTGTGTTCAAGCAGACACTTAAGACCTGATGCTCTGCTCGACTGATGGTGCAGCCCTGGGGTGGTCATCTCTCCTCTCTGAGTCTCAACCTTTTCATCTATAAAACAAGGGATTGGTCCAAATATTTTCCAGAGTCCTTCCTAATTTGAAGTTTCTATGATCAACAGACACATGTGTTCTGCATGTTGTATGTACAAGACATTGCTTTCTGCTATGTTTTCTCATTAAGTTGTTTTATTTCTAAGCATAAATGTTGAGCCTGTAAATAGGAGAATGTTATTTTTGATTCTACTAAATAGAACTTTTGTGAAGACAGTATATGATTCTTAAAAAAGCTTTTGAATATAAAAACGGAAAAGATCCATGGCTGACCCTGCCCTCCTGAGGCCCTACATACCGATATCCCCCGGCTCTATCGGCATAGCCACAGACTGACAATGTCTTCGGCACTGGAAGGGAGGGATGAGCTGCAACATGGCCTCACCACTGCCAATGGTAAACAGGTCATGCATCTTATGCATCTGGAGGAAAGAACAAGGAGGAAAGGAAAAGGAAGGCAAAGAAAACAAAATAAAAGCAGCAGGTTTGGTAAATAAAAATGCTTTCACATATGGCTCTGAGTTTCCTACCCTAAGCAAAGAGGAAATGGAACCAATAACAACATTTGCAATTATGTCCAAAAGACAAAACAACCTACTTTTTCCTAAGAATGGCATCTCTTGGCACTAAAACCAGAGTAAAATCTTTTCTATGGGTTCTCCTAAAGAGGCACTGTGTGATTGAGTGGGCAACACCCTCAACAGGAGCCCCAGAGTAGACCCTGCATGCGCTTCATAATTTGCAACTATCTTTGGCCATAGCTTCAAAGTAAGCCAAAGGAAGATACCGAATTGCAATTTAACAAACGTAGTTCTAGTAGAAACCAACACATGGTGGTTGAAGCATACAACGTTCTGAGATTCTGGTTTGATGAAAACTTTTTAGATAGACAATTGGCATATTCTTTGGGCACTCTTCCATGGAATATTATTTCTTACTACCAGGGCTCTGATAAGAGGTGCACAGCAGCAAGTTAAAGTTTACACTGTCTGGCAAGACACAGGTGAGCAGATATGCCACACTACCCATTAAAAACTAATGACACTAGGACTGGCCTCTGCCTGTGGAAACTAAGGAGACAACCAGCATATGCACCTGCACAGGTAACTACTGCACTTCTGAGGGCGTGCTACTATTGGCAACAGGAATTAAGTGTAACCTGCTATGTGCCAGGGAAGGAGCTGTGAACTCTGGGGATGGGGGTGGGACCAGGGCAGGGAATAGGGATAACAGGAGAGGTGGGTCTTGCTAGGACATTTCTCCTTACCTTAATGATGACAGAAACCCTGGGGCCCTCCTCTCCCGTCTGCTCCTCCTATCTCCTGCCCTTCAGAGAAACCCTTTATATGCCCATATAAAGTGGGAGCCAGAAGTCTGACTCCCTGGGCCACGTCTTGGTTTTCTCTTCACCACTCAGGGCCTCCAGAGTCTTGAGCTTTGGCCCCATCTTCCTCTGTTACCAACCCTGGTCTCTCTGCTGCTGCCACAGGTCCTGCCCATGATGTTTCCATGGCAACACCAGAGCCATTTGACCTGCTAATGTGGTGACAGGGACAAGCGTGGTGTCTTTGGCTGGCCCGCAGTTGACTGGTACTAATACTGGCAGAAGCCTTAACATCTACAGTCTTGAAAACAATGTCAGAAGACCAAAACAAGTGGCTGGATCCCTTCTTCACACAGGCCTGAAGTGGGCAGGGTCACGTTCCTCCATTCCCAGGATGGAAAAAACAGACAACACGGTGGCACAGGTCAGCCCTAGGCCACACCGTAGAGTGGGTGAAGTGGGCCTTGGAGCCCCTCACCTCCTCCCCCAGTGCCGCCTAACAGTCAGGTCCTCACTTATGTCCCAAGGCTGCCTTTGAACACTGGGCCCCCAGAGACGTGACTTTACCAGGGCCCAGGGCCCAGGGCCCAGGGATGTGGACAACAGGGTGGAGTAACAAGGCTGGGGATAAAGGAGAGCTTGGGCCAGGGTGGGGAAACAGATTCTCTAAGAAACTGGGCTCTCAGGAGTTTTGCCTGTTTGGCCACTGCCCTTTCCAAAACATCCTGGAGAACCACAGGATGACTTTGATAAGCATCTGAATAACTCTGTATTTACTCCTTTGGCTGAGCTCCTTGGTACTGCGCAGGCTGGAGAAATTAACTTTGGTATTCAAGCGGTAAAACCAAGAGAAAGATAAAAGCCCTCGCCCAGAAATATATTTACGAAGATGAAGTCATACAAGGGCCTGGAACTCTAGCCGGCGACAGCAGGATAAACTTCTTCAAAATCTGAGGCGAGAGCCCAGCATCTCCACCCCAGTGCTGGTTGGCAGAACTTCTTCTAGACAAAATGATTGTTTTCATAGGCTTTTAAATTCCTTTAACACAATTCAGCAAATTTGGAGCCAAGTAATAGTATCAGGAGGTGGAAGCCACAGTCCAGAGCTGGTAGGGGGCCACGGTTTGGGAAATTTTTTTTACAAAGGAAAATGCATGCTTTTAATTCTCCCAAACCAATCCAGGCTCAAAAACCTTCCTTGGGAATGAGACTCAACAAAAGGAGCAATTCAGAGAAAAGTAAACAGACACAAATGCAGAACAGCTTCTCCCAGTCCACTGGCCCCAGAGACATAAATTTGACACTGAGCACTTGGCCCCAGACTGAGGTGGGAAATGATAGGGGCAGAGCAGGCTTTCTATCCCAGCTGCATTGCCTGCCTATCAAATCATTCCCAGGCTCCCACACTTTTTGCCTTTCAAGTTCTCTATCAGAAATCTCTTAATTGTTTATTTCTGGTGAAAACCACCCTGGGGGTGAGAGGGTAAAGGTTGTTTCCTTGGGCAACTCACTTAATGTCTCTGGGGCTGTTTCCCTATCCACAAAATGAAGAACTTATTCTATTCATCTACATGCTATTCCTTCATAGCCTTCTTTTCTTTTTTTTAAAAAAAATGGAGATAGGGTCTTGCTATATTGCCCAGGCTGGTAAACTCCTAGGCTCAAGCAATCCTCTGGCCACAGCCTCCCAAAGTGCTGGATTACAGATGTGAGTGACCACCATTCATGGCTGCTTGCCTACTTTCTAACTTAAGGTAGGAAAGTCAGGCTACTTGCACACTCAAGTCCTTCAAATTTTAAGATTTCTCTTCCTTTAATATAGAAAAGTAGCTTGCCTCAGGTGTTAAGGGCAGAAGGTGGATTTGCAAGGTAACTAGACTTTCTGGAAACCCACCTTCATGACACGGTGGGCCTCTCCAAGTCTCCTAGCCAGCAGCAGGAGGGAAGAACTAGACAGTGTGGGTGTCCCCTCAATTCACCCTCCAAGCCAATATGCAGGGAAGGCCTTGATTATGACATCAGTCCAGCTCCCAAATAAGGAAAATTCTAGATCCAAGTCCTCTCAAAGTTTCCTACCTTACTCCCCACAACAGGTTCCGGGTGAAGAAGGAAGCACTTGTTTAAAGAGGCATCTTTAGGAAATGGCAGCTGAGTGAAAACAGGAAAAAGCTCACGTAACATTTGTGATCTGTTCAGAGGTCTCCTCCTGTAGCAGTTTGAAACAGAAAAAACGGAAACTGGTCAAGCCAGCACATGACTAAGAGAGCGCCAAGTAAGGGTGGGGAAACTGTGGGCGGTGGGTAAAGTGGGAAAAATATGAGTACAGTATGTTAAGTAGCAGGTCCCTGAAGAATCATTGCACGGAGTCGATGAACTATAACATGTATACACAGAGGCATAAACTCTACAGCCATGATTTGAACATGTGGGTGGAGTGTTGCTAAATTGCAGCTAAAACAACATATAGAGGAAGGAAAGAAACAATCTATTCATTCTATCTTGGAGAAGAGATTGAAGTAAAAGCAGGCCAGGCAGGGGAAGGAAAGAAGAGAGGAGGAGGAAGGGACAAAAAACATGACCCTTCTTCCGAGGCAGAGGGAGATGCAGGGGAAAGCCTGCTCAGCTTGTTCAACTGGGCACTCTAGCACGCAAATAAATGGCACATTTAAAGAAATATAGAAGCATTAAGAAATTAACAAAAGGCCTGAAAAAGCCATTTTAATTCCTTTGGAACGGTTCTAAGATGGAAACTGGCTTTCTTTTCTTACTAGACAGCAACCTTAACCACAAGGAATGAACCATGGCTTCTGCAGGACACAAGAAGGAACAGTAGGACAAACCTGGGTTTTAATCCTCACTGGGTAACCTTAGGCAAGTTACTTAACCTCTCTGTTTCCCACTTTTCTTTCTCTTTTTCCTTTTCTTTTCTTTTCTTTTCTTTTTTTTTTTTTTTTGTTTTGAGACAGGATCTCACTTTGTTACCCAGACTGGAGTGCAGTGGTATGATCATGGCTCACTGCAGCTTCAACCTCCCAGGCTCAAGCCATCCTCCCACCTCAGCCTCCCAAGTAGCCTGGATATTTTTTGTAGAGACAGAGTCTCCCTATGTTGCCCTGGCTCGTCTTGAACTCCTGGGCCCAAGTGATCCACCCGCCTCAGACTCCTAAAGTGTTGGGATTATAGGCACGAGTGATGCCTGGCTACTAATTCCCACTTGTCTGATCTGAAAAATGACAACAATCATTCCCACTTTCCAGAGTTATTATGAGTGTCTCCAATGAGCCACAGACACTAAGTAGCAAGGCACACTGCCTGGCACAAAGAAGTGCCAAAAAATGCAGTTCTCCTTCTATTATTTGTACTCTCTCGTCGGCCCCCCACCTGAGGTCCCATTCTACATAAAATGCCAAACACATACTTTAGAAATACATTATGACTCTATTAGACAAACTTGCTGGCCCCACCCCAGTGGCGCCCCTCCTTCTGACACACCTCTTCATCCATCCCCTTTATGTCTCATCATTGGTTTATCAGTGGGATCCCAGCATTGGACCTGTAGTGTGCTGGGCCCGTGGTAGCGACTCAGTGATAGCTATTACTGCTTTGTGAGTATTACTGGTCTGCCCCTTTTCTACTCCCAAGCTAAGTGCCTCCCCACTTTTTTTGAGACAGAGTCTTACTCTGTCACCCAAACTGGAGTGCAATGGCATGATCTCGGCTCACAGCAACCTCTGCCTCCCAGGTTCAAGTGATTCTCATGCCTCAGCCTCCCAAGTAGCTGGGATTACAGGCATGTGCCACCACACCTGGCTATTTTTTGTATTTTTAGTAGAGACGGTGTTTTGCCATGTTGGCCAGGCTGGTCTCCAACTCCTAGGCTCAAGTGATCTGCCTGCCTGGGCCTCCCGAAGTACTGGGATTACAGGCATGAGCCACCGCACTTAGGCCTTTTCATACTCACCATGGATAAGGAAATGGGAACCACCGTTCAGGGAAGCAGCGCCACCACTTGGTGAAAAACCCTTCAGTGAAGCCTTCTGTCACCTCGGGGTACTGGCACAAAAAATGCTGAATCTCCTCAGATGACAAGGGCTGTCCCGTCTTGGCAAGGCAGGAAACAAAGCAAAACAAAACAACACAGAGTTACTTATCAGAAATTTCCTAGCGCTTGACCTAGCCTTTAAGCGAGCAGTCAGTCAGTGGGAGACTCAGGCTTCTTGCTCACCTTGATCACCAGTGGATGGAGCCTCTCAAATTTCCTTGGGGCGTCTTCCAGGAGCATCACCTTCAGAGGTTCCTGGGCACAGCCAGTACAGTTGGCAGGAATGGGCTCTGACTCATTCTGCTCACAGTCCTTTGTCCACCAGGGGTCAACGTCTGAGAGAGGAAGAGACATGGAGAAAGCAGATATTGAAAGAGTACAGCGGATACCTTAAGTAGCTCCAGCAATGAAACAAGAAAAGAAAGACATCATCATAATTTTTATTTATTTATTTGAGACAGAGTCTCACTCTGTCACCCAGGCTGGAGTGCAGTGGCACTGTCCAGCTCACTATAACCCTTGCCTCCTGGGTTCAAGGAATTCTTGAACAAGCCTTCTGAGTAGCTGGAACTACAGGTGCATGCCACCACATCTAGCTCATTTTTGTATTTTTAGTTGAGATGGGGTCTCGCCATGTTGCCCAGGCTGGTCTGGAATTCCTGGGCTCAAGTGATCTGCCCACCTTAGCCTCCCAAAGTGCTGGGATTACAGGCGCAAGCCATTGCATCCAGCCCATAATAATTTTTAAAAACAAACAATGGTAAGCACTGGAGACCGCTGAAAACGTACATATAAAATAAGTAGCCTCTGAGGAGGGAGAGAAGACAGGGGCAGGAAGGAAGGGTACTCTTCTCTGTATACCGTTTTATACTTTGTGGAAAATATCTTTCAACATGTACATGCATTTCCTAAATCAAATCAACAAATAAAGTATAACAGCTGGGAAAAACATTCAGCTATATGGAGCTAAACATGTAGTTCTCCCAACATTTTCTAACTCATGACCCATATGGCCAAAATGTCTATAGCACAGTGGGGCTGGTGTAATAGAAAGGTGACCCCACCATCACTGCTGTGCCCTAATGCACTTCTCACATGTGCTAGATGTGTGCCTAGACCCTTGGTTCACAAGTACACATAGGAGCCAGAACTCTGGGAAGGAAGAGTGAGAAAAGGGCACAGAAGAGGGAAGGGATAGAGAGGGTAGACAAGGCTTTTCTGGAGCCATCTTTGGAATAAAGTGAATTGCATCTGTCTATAAGATGACCCTCTATCCCAACTCAGGAAGGGGTGAGACTGCCAGCCATAGTTTTCACCTCCACATGCTGGTCAGAAATGGAAGACCCCCAACCCAGACCCTGATGGGAATGACAGTGGCTCCCTGACACGCCTGTCTGGTTTGGCTCCTTCTTTGAGGGACTCTTCTCTCTGCACAGCCTTTCCCCAGTTTCCTCTGTTGCCATCCTGTTTATAACGTTATTCCATTATTTCTTGTTTACTTTCTGTTCCACTTTGAATTTCATCTGTGTTCTCTGAGAGATATGTTTGTTTTAAACTCTGCTTTGAATCCAGAATGTTTCAGAATATGGTCCTGATTAAAACCCAGTGGAAATCAAATCAGGAGAGAGCCTAGAACAAATGATAACAGACAACCAAATGTGGCTGAAATGAAGTCAATTCTTTAAACCAATAAACATACTTGGAAACTGACTCTTAACCACAAAACATTTTCTGTGGTTGTCAGTAAGCACTTTATCCTTGTTTTCCTCGAGGTAGTAGTAGTGGGGCATAGGAAATCCTCGCCAGGGAAGGACCATGTTTGTTCTTGGCCCATCTCCTGAGCATCCTCGATCTCTTGCAGACAGTATCTGCTTCCTGGAGGCAACTGCCACCTACCTATCTCAGCCAGTCTCAGCCTGCAGGAAGGTTATCAGCCAGAGGATTACTGCTATACCCCACCCCTGGAAGGGCACCTCTCCTCCCACAGTGCTCCAGGGGGCAGCTGAAACCCTTTAGTACCACCTGTTTCAGTGGCACACTGAGGTTGCAAAGTGGCATTTTTTTCTTCTCCAATAGTTTCAAATGTTTCTTATTCAGGGTCAAACATGATAAATTCTTGGCAATATGCAAAAACTCTGGGTAATGGACACACCATGAAGCATAATCATAACAACATGTTACAGTTATATAGCATTTCAGTTTCCAAAGTACTTGTGATGGAAGGGGAAGGGGAAAGAAAGCTAATGCACTGAGTGTTTGCCCTGTGCTAGTCACTTTCCTATGTTATAGCATTTAATTTTCACCGTGTAGTTACTGAGGAGGAACCACTATTCTCATTCTATGGATGAACAAACTGAAAGTTACAGGTGATTGGAAGTTCCCGAGGTGCCAGAGTGTGGCAGGAAGAACACAGGAGATGCTGGGCGTGCAGTAGGGCTGGGTAAGGAAACAGAGGCTGCAGAGGAAAATGTGGTGAGGGCTTCCAGGGCTTGAAGCATGTCTGATTCTACTCAGAACAAACACAGGAACTGTTGGAGACTTCTGAGCAGGGGTTTCTTGATGTTCTAGGAAGATTATTCTGGGTTGTGATTTAGCGTGCCCTAGAAGAGAGAGGCTGGGAAAAGGAAGACCTGTTTATATTTTGGTTTTGCCCTTTTTTAGGGAAAACGGGGTTGCACTGTGATGAGAAGTAAAATATAATGATTGAGGCAGTGGGAATGGAAAAAGGGATGGATTCTAGAAGCAGTGGTGATGAAACTGACAGCCCCAAGGAGCACTACTGTGAGTGTTTGCACCACACTGTCCTCTGGGTCAGTGTCATAATAAACCTGCAGATCTCTGCTATCACCCATATCATTAGTGCTCATCTAGGGAACATCATCTGCAGATTTATTATGACACTTTATTGTAGTAGTGTGTCATATTCCAACAGAATCAGTTAATTATGACAATATTCTCAGGAGATGAGAGTAATGCACCAGGAGAAAGGGGCACCTTCCTCAAATTTGTACGAAGGTGCTGCATGAGCTAGCAGTGAGCAGCTCTGACCTAAGAGGTAGGAGAATTATTTTAACTATAACTTATTTATTTTTTGAGACAGAGTCTTCCTATCACCCAGGCTGGAGTGCCTCAGCCTCCTGAGTAGCTTGGGATTACAGGTGCCTGCCACCAGGCCTGGCTAATTTTTATGTTTTTTGTGGAGATGGGGTTTCACCATGTTGGCCAGGCTGGTCTCACACTTCTGACCTCAGGTGATCTGTCCTCCTCAGCCTCCTAAAGTGCTGGGATTACAGACATGAGTCACTGTGCCCAGCCCAGCCTAACTTATTTAATATTAATTTTATTATGAGCTTTAGATATCCTTGGGATTTCCAGGTGAAGATGCCTTTAAAAAGCAAATAGAAGAAGAAAACCCAGTAAATGGAAATCAAGAAAGAAAAAGAAAGTAGGAATAGCAAACTAAAAGGGAAACTTGGAGGTGGTGTTCCCTGAAGGTCTAAGAACACAAGTAAAAAAAAAATGTTAGTACTAAAAAGAGAATTTAATAAGGCGACAGAATACAAAATACTTATTTTCAGATATGTAAAAATCAATAGCTTTCTTACTCTACTGACCACAATCGGTTAAAAACTGAAATGGAAAATGATCTCATTCATAATAACTAGCAATAAATTTAACAAGAAAGATAAAACAGTCAGGGGTGGTGACTGATGCCTGTAATCCCAACACTTTGGGAGGCCCAGGTGGGATCGCTTGAGCCCAGGAGTTTGAGATCAGCCTGAGCAACAAAGGAAGGCCCCATCACTACAAAAAACATACATATATTTTTTTGAGACGGGATCTCATTCTGTCACCCAGGCTGGAGTACAGTGGCACAATCTAGGCTCACTGCAGCCTCAACCTCCCAGGCTCAAGCCATCCTCCCACCTCAGCCTCCCAAGTAGCTGGGACTACCAGTGTATGCCACCATACCCAGCTAATTTTTCTATTTTTTTTGTAGAGACAGGGTTTCCCCATGTTACCCAGGCTGGTCTTGAACTCCTGAGCTCAAGCAGTCCACTCGCCTTGGCCTCCCAAAGTTTTGGGATTACAGGCATGAGCCACCTGTGCCTGGCCGATAAAGTATAAACATAGATTTTAATTCAGTGAGAAAAGGGTAGATTCAATAAATCAAATTGGGACAAGTGACCATCTCTACGGAAGAAAATAAAGTTAGATCCTTTTCACCTTATACTGAATTAGATTCCACATTAATTAAAGATACAAATAGATAACAAAAAATTTTTTAAATAACTAGAGGAGCTGGGCATAGTGGTACTTTAGTCCCAGCTATTCAGGAGGCTGAGGCAGGATAATCTCTTGAACCCAGGAGTTCAAGGCTAGCCTGGGAAGACAGTGAGATCCTGTCTCAAAAAAACAAAAACAAAAAAACAACAACCAAAAAAAACACAAGAAACAAACAAAAATCACTACAGGAACTACTCCAAACCATAGAGAATTCATGTATTTTCATGAGTTCTCACTGGTATAAAAATTTGTCTATAATGTGAGACTTTAGATTAATTGGTCAATCCCTTTGGACATCAGTTTTCTTGTCTTTAAAATGGACATAAAAACAGTATCTACCCTACGAGATTGTTGTGAAGACTGAGAAATGAGTATTTTTATAATATTTGGGGCAAGGAAGGCTTCCTAGAGGCTATAAAGAAAAAATGGGCAGATTTGACCAATATTTGCATATAAGAGACAAAGAAGCAGCATCTCTAATATATAAGCTTCTATCTGATTACAAAAAATTTTTTTGAGACAGGCTGTCACTTCGTCACCCAGGCTGAAGTGCAATGGAACAATCATGGCTCACTGCTGCCTTGACCTCCCTGGGCTCAGGTGATCCTCCCACCTGGTGGCCCACAAAGAAGGAAGGGAAGTGCCGGGCATGGTGGTTCACACCTGTAATCCAAGCCCTTTGGAGGCCAAGGTGGATGGATCACCTGAGGTTGGGAGTTCAAGACCAGCCTGACCAACATGGTGAAACCCCGTCTTTTTAAAAAAAGAAAGAAAAGAAATTGAAGGGAAGTGATGAGGAAAAAGGATCACTGGAATGGGGTAGCCTATGCCATCCATCTGCATTAAGGGAGCCCAAACTTTAAAAGAAAGAACTACTTTTGATTTCTCTGTAGCCCTGAGATCACCAAGGTGGATAAAAATTTCGCTTAGACAGAGGAACGAGCAGGCAGTGAACTGGAGGTGGGGGTAGGGTGCAGGCTCCTCTTCCCTATCCCACAGAGTCCCTGACAACAGAAAGAGATGTGGCCAGACTCCAGTGTGGCCTCCTTCCA